CGCTTTTGAATTGAACGCGCTGCGCTACAGCCTTTACAGAAAATGAATTCGGTAATGCGCGTTCCATCCAGTTCTTTGGCGATCGTACTTTTCCCCGGGAAAGGTAAGAATTGACAAGTTTAAAGTCAGAAAAACAAACCTAGTTCAAGATATTCCATGATAGCAGCTGCTTGAGAGGTACTGCCGCTTGCATCACAACTGTAAAACTTAGAAGTGTCCTTTTTCTGAGGCAAGTTGTTTATAAAGTTGGAGATGTCGACCCCTGTTATTTGCCGCCCATCCTCAGCTCTTATCTTGGTAGCCGAGGGTGTTGTCACAAGGTACTCTCTGCCGTCACCAGGTATCTTGGAGTATATTCCCAGCTGTAATTGGTAAAATTAGTGAGTTACCAGCATATTTAGCAAATTGCTGCCCATGGATTATTGCAGTTATTTCACGAGGCGCAGCCGAGTGCAATAACTGGTGTAATCGTATTATACATGCAGTTAGATTCGCGTATAACTCCACGATTCTGGTAGAGTTTTTGTTGGTTTTTACTCCTCCAGAGTTCAGACTAAATGAAACTTGTGATTGGACAGTCAGGACAGGGAGTGCGATTACAAAACTGATCGCACTGATTTTCTGAAAGTACTATACTGTATGATGTCATATTTAGCAAATTGCTGCCCATACACATTACACTAACATTAATTGCAAGAAAGTTACAATATAGCTCAATAATATAGTGTCAATAAAGAGCCACACGCTGGGGCTACGGGGGCGGGGTGACCGTTATCCGTCGAAATGTTAGGTTCACGTTGACTGCTCTGAGACTCTATGAAGCTTAGTGTGCCCAGTCGTTGTTTTATATTTTGTTACAGGAGTTGATTGTTTTTTGTCAAGTTGTGCATTTGTATTAAGTTTTAACAGGGGTGCATGGAAATATCGTCCCGAAAATCAAATCGACCTGATAATGGACAACTGAGCGTTTTAGAGCAATTGAAGAGAGCTAATACATACTAATAGTACTTCTGTAATTTTTAAGACGATGCCGTAGAGTATACTCACAAACAAATAAAGCAGTTATTTAAAGATGAACTGTGTTGTATTAATATATCACAGTATCTTTCAGAACAGTGCGATTAGCTTTTTAATCGCAAACAATATGTTTTCGGTTTCTCTCAAAACAGTGTGATTAGTTTTGTAATCACACTCCCTGAAAAAAAACCGGTGCGATTATGAAAAATATAAGTGGCCGTCATATAGGTAAAAAGTGGAGTTATTACAATAAGCACCTTTAAAGCTGAGAGTAAAGTTGTTTTACCATGGAAACCACCACCAGCAATTAGAGTAACCCCAGGTTTTATTCCCATTCCAGTGATGCTCCCTTTGTTAGGGCATTTGAGCTGAAACGCAGTCATTACCTTTAAATGGTAAACTAATTAGTAATTGATCAATATTAAGTTATCATCCTTTATTAAACACTTCATAGTAAGTCACTAACTTTAAGATAAGGAGGAGACTGTATTAACTAAAGTAACTAACAGTAACTTTAAGAGAAGGAGGAGACTGAAAGGAGACAACACCTCTGCCACTATGAGGAGTGTCAAGGTGACCAGCAGAGCGCGGCAGAATTGCACCGTCCGGTACGAAGGCAATGAGTTGAGCAGCGCTCAGTTGCTTACGGAGGGCTTCCTGGTCCTCGTAACTCTCCACCCAATTCTGTAATTCTGTTTTGTCTGTTGACTCTCCACAGCAAGCCCTGTTTACCATTTTGTGAGACCACAATAGCAGTTGATTAGGGTTATTATACAATCTAAGTTATAAGCAACTTGATTAAAAGAAACTTTAATTTCCCGCGGTTAGGTACAATATCGCAACATGGTACGTTAGAAGATTGATAAGATAAGAAACATGATAAACGGTAAACCTAATGACAATATTGTGCACGGTGTTAGTACAGATATCTGCAGCCCAGTGCCCGCAGATATTCCTCCCTTTAGCCGGTAGTCCAACACAGAACCTGAGCAGAATGTTCTCTTCCTTTACCTGTAGTCGTTATTCTTGTTTTCATCTTGTCAGACGACAGACATCCGCTATAAACCTATAGTGACCATTACGGTACCGCAGTTCCATGAGGTATATAATGTATTATTCATAAATTAAAGGACCAGTCTCCAATTTGGCTAAGATTTAAATCAGCTGTGACAAACTGGTAAAGAATCGTATCGCCGAAAGAACCAATTCTCTAGCGTACGTGTAACGCGAGTTATTGCAATAATAAGCTGTGGCGTCGTGACGTCATAAAGTCCCTCAGTGCGCGCTTGCATAGCGTAATACATTGCAAATGTTTATCATCGTCAATAAAACACGTGTAACTCACTCAAATTTTATAATTATGACTATTACCCTAGTTCTCCAAAATCCTTATAGTTTTGGCTATCATCCTAACTAAAGGAATAGCTGATTGTATGTACAGTGCTCACGTCAAGATTTTAAACAGTGACATAATTTCTTGAACAGTGGCGGGTGAATGTACGGTTAGAAAGTTTCTGCTATTACAACTTATGTCATATAATGTGATAATTTTGGATTGTTTTCATTGCTTAATTACACAAGCAGGGAGACTGTACCGATTATTTTTCCCCAGTCCATGAAACTCTAACGAATTTAGAAAGGATCTAGATAAGTAGGAGTTTGTTCAATTCCGAGAGCAATTATATTTATATCATAGCGGAATTTCTAACTTTAATCCACATGTGTCAGCCAGTACAGGAGACAAGAAGTCTTGCTACTTTACGGCCGTTCCTCTGGGATTATTAGTAGAAGTAGCTTCTATCAGAACAGTGCCGTGGGAACAGAATTCCCGCCAAAATACCCGGTCTACCAAATAGTAATACTGATTGGTGTGTACGGTGTGCGGTGCGTTTTGAATTAGACTTACGGCTTACCTAGTTGTTATCCTAATTGCATTATCATCGGTACATAACATAAATAAACTACTGGTAAGTTTAAATACCAAGTGCAAACGTGTTCAGTCAATCGACCCACTGAACAACTATAGAATTTCCAAGACCCTATTATTCTCTGGCCATATATTACGGCACGATCGATTGTTAGATGGCTAAACGACCAACGTTAATCTATACAATTCTAAAACTATGAGCTAGCACTTTAATCTAAAAATACACTTTTTATATTACTCCTGATTTTTACATTTCACGTTAAACATTGTCGCCACAGGTTGATCATGGACACTAACAGCTTAATTTGAGATAAATGACTTAAGAGTTTCTCTAAAGTTAACTCTAAAGTTGTGTAGTCCAGTCATTTATGGACATTTATGGAAATGAACCTGCAAATGTTCAAATACTCACGAAACTTTGCACAGACCTTCCTGAAAGTATGAATAAACGATTTTCGTTTGGAGACATTTTTTGACCGTGGAGAAAACCCGGGAGGGCCACGCCCATATTGACCCAACAACGTAACCGACCCCTTGCTTCTGAAGGTCGTAGAGACTTCTAAATAGGCTTAAACCAAGCGGCATATGCATGTTTATATAGGAGTTACTGAGCAACACATGGCCTAAAATCCTTACTTTTCGAGAAATTTGCCAAAAACCATTTTGGGCGTGGTGCTGAGCCCATTTTCGATAGGATCGTGATAGAGTCTTTAGACAGGGTGCAAAAGAACCGCAATTAGCATATTCATATATGACTTACGAACAAACATATGCCTTAAAGTGCTTACTTTTTCAGTTATTGGCGAAAAACTGATTTTCGGTTCCAGAAATCATGCTAAAATATGGGCATCTCGTAAATTGGGCTATGAAAGCCCTACAGATTTTTGAATGAGTGCAAATTGTGCAGAATGGCCATGTTTATATACAACTTATGAAGCAACATGTACCCTAAAATACTTACTTTTCGAGTTATTTGGGGGAGAAACATTGTATTATGTCCATTTTCTACCTGTAAAATACAGTCTCACGAGCTACTCTGTGCGCGCAAGGGACTTTATGACGTCATCGCCAAAATAATACAAACGCTAATTACACGCGTTAGAGAGCAGTTAGAGATTTAGGAATTTCGACTCGTTGCTTAGTTTGCTATTTGTCACAATCTGTCAAAATATGAGGATAACTTTTTTTTCAGTTAACTGGTCCTTTAAACATTTCTAAAGCTACATTATAGTCGATTTATAAGAACTGTGGCGCTTAGTTCACAATTGTATTATTAATTTCGTTAGATCAAGAGAACTGTTAGATCGTAAATTAAATAACGCAAAATAATAAATTGTGCATTGTTTGGTGAGTAGTAACCTCGACTGATGTTCGTAATAATATGTTTTGAGAGGGGTGTTCTATCCTCAGCTCTCCACCCTTGCCGTCATGCCACGAACCACCTGCAATTGTTCAGTTTTAGTTGATTCTTAGTTTAGTCTTAACTCTTAGTTTAGTCTTAGTTGGGCCTTAACTCTTAGTTTAGTATTAACTCTTAACTTAGTCTTAGTTTAGTCTTAGTTTAGTCCAGTCTTAGTTTAGTCCTGTAAACTTAGTCTTAGTTTAATCTTAGTTTAGTCTAGTGTGAAATGATAGATCAACCTTGACAATGACTAACAGACCAATTGGTACCATCAGCAGTGTACATTTTTGAGAAGAACTAATGTGAATTTTGAGAAGAACTAAGTATGAATGTACATTGTTTGTTTGATAATACAACATACTATTGTTCTCAAGACTCATTCTTCAAATGATGCATACCGCATTAGAGCTAGTCTTTCCCAGTGTTTGTTATGCCTTTGTTGTAAAAAATAGCTGCAGCTTCTTATTTTAATAATTACTCACAAATTTGTTCGCCCTGGTGGCTCAATAGTGCCTTTTACCTCTAACATCTTTACCGTTCAAATTTTACCAATAAGATAGATAATTGTTAATCCGGTAGATTAATCTTTACCAGCCCATAAAATTTGTTAAAGTTGAGTCTAGTTGAATTACACCACTCCCTATCTTAACCAGGATGAGTTCAGAGAACCAAGATCAGAGAACCAAGATCTTGCAAGATGAGAAGAGAAAGTTAAGAGAAGATTTTGATAAAGAGGCTGAAGAAATTGAGCTAGATATAAATGAAGCAATGGACGGCTCAACATGTGGGTGGGGCACTTTACTCTACACAATTGGAACATTCTTCTTCTGTGCGCTGGAGGGTGCAGAGATAGTCCTCCTCACAATAATAGGACCAATACTGAGGTGTGAATGGAACCTCTCCTCTGCCGCTCTATCAGGTCTCCAGATCAGCACTATGATCACCATGCTGATAACACCACTGGTAACCTCCACATTTGGAGACAGATTCGGGAGAAAACGCATATCTCTGATCTCAGCTGTCGGAGTCACAGCAGCGGCGATATTGTGCGCCTTCGTGCAGAACTACTGGCAGTTTATAGTCCTTCGCTTGATAACAGGAGTGTTTGTTGGTCTGGGCACCGGGCCAACTGTCACTCTGAGTGGAGAGGTTACACCCAATAAATTCCGTGCTCTTGCTTTCTCTGGCCTCTCCTTACCTTGGGGTATAGGAGCTTCAGTTACTGGATGTATGGCTTACTTGATTCTGAATGACTTTGGGTGGAGAGGTCTGGTAATTTCCACTTCTCTTGCCTTCTCTCCGTGCATAGTGTTTTTTGCTGTGATCAGGGAGTCAGCAAGGTTCCAGTATTACAGGGGTAACGTGACTGAGGCTGAGATTACTATTAGGAAAATTTACAAGATGAATGGTAAAGGGGATGTGAAATTCAGACTGAAGAGAGCTCCACCAGTGGAAGTGCACGATTTAAACATTAGCTGCAGCATGGTCTACAGATTGCTCCAGCAAACTGAAAACATTTCCAACTCCGTGTTACTTTTACTCTCAGGCTTGACAAGCGTGTTCTCATATTATATAAGTACCTACACGATGCCCAGAGTTTTAAATGAGGGGTATTGCACTGGAGCACTTGTTCCAGCTGAAAGAACATGTTTATTTGACAATGCTACACTGTTTGATATTAGTATAGTCAGCTTATCAGAGCCCCTGGGTGTTATCCTCATGCTTCTTGCCATTGAAAAGTTTGGGAGAATAAAACCAGCAATTGGAGTGGGCTTGTTGGCAGTTCTGCTCCCAACGACACTATATTTCTGTGTTAATAGGTCCTGGTTGTTCTGGTTCCTCCTGTTACAGCGCATGGCTATAGCTGCAGCAGCATTGTTGTCTCCTATTTTGATCGCTGAATATTCACCAACTGTTATCAGATCGTTTATGATAAGTGTTTTAGTTACAGCGAACAGAACTGGGGGGATAATAGGTATCCTGTGTTCAGAGTTCTTGTTTAATGAGGGTGTGAGACTGGTATTTGTTGCCATACAGGCCACAAATCTCTTGTTTGTGTTTTGTTTAATGGGACTCAAGAGAGAAACTGTTGGTGTAGAACTCACTTGATAAAATAGAACTGAGCTTAAATCTTACTGCAGCAACTTTTTAGATTCGATTATTAGAAGTATGTATAATGTATATTTTCACTTATCAGTAGTCGATGCCTAGACAGAATTATTTTAATTAAAAATGTAAAATTTTGATTTATTCAGCAAAATCAATCATTTCAGATAGCTGTTAGAATGATATAATCATGAGTCATGACCCTAAATTACTGCTCATGATAGCCTTGCAAAGTAAGTAAACTGTAAAGTAAACAAAATTTAAAGATGAGAAATACCAGTTGCAGTTATTCATAACTTGTGAATTCTGTTTACAGGAGACAAAAACAAACCAGTATTATAGTGACTATAATTTATAGTGTCACTTACGTGCCTTGTAGTCAGCCTTCTGATCAGATATAGCACCGACAGTCCTGCGACAAATGTAGTCAGCAAGGGCAACTGTGCGAGTACTGTTTGACCATGACCAATCTGGGAACCTACTCTGAAATATTGTGCAAATATTACACTAGATATATATATTATATACCTGCATTATAATTACACAAACCTGCCACTTGATTTAAGAGCTTAATCATAAATGGGTGGATAAACTGAAAAATTGAGAATGGGCCATGTCTTACATCTTACATTTTGGAGGGGAAGAGTGACACATATTCTAGAGGGAGAGGCGTATGGATCTCCTTGCACATGATCGAACTTAAGACTGAAGATCCTTTCAAAATCAAAGGTAAACCCTGAAAATAATATGTTATTGTTATTATGCCTCCTTGGATGATAATGTTTTGGTGATACATATCTATATTGATTCTAACAAGAGCTCAAGTAACCTGGAGAAAGAAGCTCAAGTCATAAAATAATCTTTAATAGTTATCTTTAATTACCGTAGAGATCCTTGTAAAAGTTGTAGGGTTTTCTATCCAAATCCAACAGTATGTTTTTTAACTCTTGTCTGTTAGAGAATTTGTTTTCTCTTTTGTTAGGATGAGCATGATTATCTTTGTCATCTCCACATTCATCCCTTGGGATAAGATTGGGGTGAAGTTAGTGAAAATGTCAGAAACTGTCAGAAACTGCTTATCGGAAATTATTATATTTTAGTTTCGAAGCACACTCAAACCGTGACATACTAACATAAGATTTTTTTGTATACACATTACACTGGTTCCAATCAAATGACACAAAATCAGATAAATTTTCTGTCAGAATCATGATAAAAACAAAACCTGCAATGATGTGAGTTGTTAGATCGTTGACCACGTCCCCCTCGGCTTCCTCTACCATATCTGTTCTTGTAATATTCTCCTCTGCCCATAATAACTAAAATGACAAGAACCGATAACAATTTAATCATGAGGTGCATAACTATTATATCGTGGGTTATGAAGAGAAACTCAATTAAAAAAAATTGCGATTTAATTTTATGCTGGATAATATATATTTATAACAAAACTGGAATAAAAACAATCCAATATAATATTCAAAGCCTAATGCTAACTTATGTAGATATAGGTTGACAAGGCAAATGGGGTGTGCACTTTTACATTTCACATTGACGATATTACAATGTGATTTCGTTTGAATGTTGATTGAATTGCGTTTTTTCACAGTAATAACTTGTCATTGCCGAAAGTTAATGCCGCGCTGCTTAGTATTACATTTGTACCTGTTATCTGTCACCACAGCCAGCGATTTACGATTTACGTTAATTGTTACTGTAACATACAATCGGATACAATAGTTTATGTGTTAAAACACCGCCTCGATGCTTGATCTGACTGCTGATCACCGGGTTTCTCTGGCACCGAATTGAAGGAGTTACACGGGATGTATACTGTATAGATTAAACATTACACGGGATGTATACTGAATAGTATGTTGGTTCATAAAAACCGAAGTTGATCCAATCGCTCTGGGTCCAATCTTATTAGTTGATGCCTTGGCTAAAAAACTGCATTGAAAAATTTTGTGGCTCAACTCTATCGGAATCTAGACCAACGGGCCACGCCCTTATATTTTTCGAGGCCCTTATACAGGTAAAATTCTTAAAATTGCCGTTTTTGACCTTTAAACGTCTAGATAGGGTCCCGAAAGTAATGGAGTGTAATATAAATGTGATAAAAAGGTTAACTTTATTCAAGGTCTCATGTCTCTACGACCTTAGCATCAACATGTCTCTGCGCCTCCATTTTAAGGCGCGGTCGCGTCTCAACCATTGCTCAGTAAAGGTCGTAGAGACATGAGACTTCAACTAAAGTTAACCTTTTCCTACCATTTATATTAGAGTAGCACAGATTCAGAGCTCTAGACACATTATTTCATCCTTAAAACGACAATCATATGAATTTTGCCTGTAAAAGTTGATATCTTGATGTCAATTAACATCGTAAGCTTTTGAAATTAAAATTAATTAAATGAATCATAATACTTAACACACAATATTTATATTACACGCAATATGAAAAAATACAGAAAACCTTTCTTGGATTCCACGTCTTCACACCCTGGAACTGTGAGAGGTAAGAACAACTTCGTTGGTTGCATTGTGTTGCAAAATTTCTTGCATTACAATGCTAGTGAAAACAAACATTACTGGGCCCGGAATTTGCCCTTTTCCAAGCTCTCTTAAAATGAAGTCGCATTCCGGAGACTGATGTTTATGAATGAGCAGTTTGTGAATTTGTATACTGCTGTTGTCACTGTCGAGAACGAGCTGTTCGAGTATTGGGAATATGGCAGCTATGGCATACAGAAGAACGCAAGCATACCGTGGAGAATGTCACCTCTTCATAAATACTACAAGAATTTAACAAATATTCTCCATCTTGGAGACTGGAGAGGGAATCAGTCCTTCAGCTTTAAGAAGATCAGTTTACAGAAAAGATAACTTGGTAAAGGAATAAGAACCAGATGCTATTTTGTTAGCTAATGCTTGGATATTTATAGTTATTCACTTAACTTGGCTTGACGTATCAGTAAAAGATTACTGTACCTCGTTAGTCACGAAGAAATCATCAGACCTTATTAATAGTGATCGGTGACCCTGTCAGTGACTGGTGACGAGCTATGAAGGAATAATTGGATATCGTTGATAATGATCCTGTCAGTGACGAGCTATGAAGGAATTATTGGACCTCATCAATGCTTATCCTATAGCTGACAAGTCATAAAGAAATTATAAGGACCTGATTTAAATCCTATCTTGACGAAAATATTCCTCTGGCAACAAATTCCTTTTGGCAACGAAGATTAGACACCTTGCTTGTGAAGACATGGCGATCCGAAAACCAGGGTACCTAAATCAGAACCTGCTGACTTCTTTAAAGGATCAGTTCCACTTTCCAGTGCAGGGACCGAGAAAAGTTCAATGTCGAATCCAAGAAAGACTTCCTGTATTAGTATTATCATATTGTGTGTAAATATTGTGTGAAGTATTATGACTCATTTAATTAATTCTAATTTCAAAAGCTTACGATGTTAATTGACATCAAGATATAATCAACTTTTACAGGCAAAATTCATATGATTTTACCAAGGTATCAGTTTTAGACTTTATCAGTAATCAGGGTATCAGTTTTAAACTTAACTTCATGCGATTTTAAAACTTGTTGATAATATGTGGCAAATAATAAATAAATTTAAATTTCTTCGAAGTAGCGCGCGCCGCTTTCTTCTCGAAATATTATGGCCCGATCCAGGCCAGACTATTAACAATGGTCAAAATCGATTGAAATTAGTTTTAACTGTCGGGGCCGTCTTTTAAAAAAGAATCCTATTATATAACGGGTGGTACTCGTGAAGTTCACATAGCCATGTGTCTTTACGTACTGCGTGACGCGCTTGTTTCACAAGTAGAATACGGCGGTTGCGCGCTACTGCAAGCGAGAGGGCTTTGGTTAGAGAAACTCTTACCTGAGGACCCCAGGCTATTATGTTCATTAACGAATAAAGATTTGGCGGAATGACAGGCTGAGCGCGGCCCAGTAAAGAAACTCGTGAAGTATTTGTTCCAAATATTATTCGAAATATATTTCAATAGACCGTCGACGAACGTAACTTGGCGCGAATTTTGATAGTTTATAAACATAAATGATAAAGAAAAACATAAAGAAGAATATTATAAAAATAAAGCGTAATAAGTGATTTACCACGTTTTTTGTCTTTGTCATACGCTGTATGACCCGCCGCGCACGAGTGCGCGGCTCCCCTGTATAGTGTATCGTAAGAACGCGAACGATAGTGAAACGACCGTGGGGGTTACGACGTGATACAATGCTGTCTCACGTTGTGATTCTCATCGTCATTTTATTTAATAATTACGATAAACGCTCGCTCTGGTTTATGGTTAAAATAATATTTAAATTATTTTATTCTACATTATATTCTACGGTCCTTTTATGTAGCTCTGATTGGCTAATTAGCCAATCAGAGCTAGAGGACCGTAGAATATAATGTAAAATGTAATTTTATTTACTGCATGTCCATTTGCAAGCTCAGCTGAGTGAGATCGAGATCATGTTATTTGGAAAACTTGATGGCAAGAAACAGCTTGTAGGTTTACAACCTACCAGTACCAGGACGCGCGCCGAGTTGGACTCGTCGACGGTCCAATATATGGAACAGATATTTTACGAGTATCACCCGTTAAGAAACAGCTTGCAGTTTGTTTGCCGTTTGGCCAAAGCTGGAGCTCCAACTTCACTGCTCCGGGAGGTATTGTCGTCAGGAGAATTTGACAATGAACTGTTTAGAATTGTATTCCAATAATAAACATTGTAATCAAAGTTTTTGATATTGTATATATAATCAAGAGGCTTACATATATATATGTAAGACTTTAATAATCTTAATAATGTGAAACTTAAAGAAGTTAAAATTAGTGAATATATTGGTATTTATGATTTATTTAATGTGTTCGTTTAGAACGATTTTCTATTACATGTTGTGCATGTATTCATGAAGAGAGAAGTTATATTTGGAAAGATTATAGTCTTTCTTGTGACACCTTTATTTTATAGTTAATATTAT